CATCATCAACAACATCATCATCAGCACCAGCACCAGCATCATCAGCAGCAGCATCAACATCAGCATCATCATCATAATCGTCGTCATCATCATCATCAGCATCAGCATCATCATCATCATCATCATCATCATCATCATCATCATCGTCCTCATCATCATCATCAGCATCACCAGCATCATCATCAGCATCAGCAGCATCATCCGCAGCAGCATCATCAGGAACATCTTCGTAACAGCATCATCATCATCATCAGCAGCATCATCAGCAGCATCATCATCGTCACCATCAGCATCCGCATCATCATCAGCACCAGTTGCAGCATCATCATTAGCATGAGCATCAGAATCATGATCATCATCATCAGCAGCATCATCAGCAGCATCATCAGCACCACCACCATCATCAGCACCATCATCAGCATCATCAGCAGCAGCATCAGCATCATCTGCTGCTGTTGCAGCAACTGCTGCTGCTCCTCCTCCTCCTCCTCATCATCCTCATCATCATCATCAGCATCATCATCATCATCATCATCATCATCATCATCATCATCATCATCATCATCATCATCATCATTATCATTATCATCATCATCACCATTATGCGCATCATCATCATCCTCTTCCTCCGCCTCATCCTCCTCCTCCCCCTCCTCCTCCTCCTTCTCATCCTTCTCCTCGTCCTCATCCTTCTCCTCCTCCTTCTCCTCCTCCTCCTCCTTCTTCTCCTCCTCCTCCTCTTCCTCCTCCTCCTCATCATCATCAGCAGCAGCATCATCATCATTCTCTTCCTCATCCTCCTCCTCGGCCTCCTCCTCCCTCCTCCTCCTCCTCCTCCTCCTCCTCCTCCTCCTCCTCCGCCTCCTCCTCCTCCTTGCCCCGAGCTGGACGGCGTCCTGCCCCCGCGGCCATGTGCAACGCCTGCACCCTGCGCGACTGGCCGGCCAGCTCCGACTCGGCCTGGGCCGTGACGTCGGCCCTGGCCTCGCACTCGGGGGCGCGCGCGCGCTGGCGATCCGGCCCGCAGCCGCCTGCTCGTCGGGGGCGCGTCAACCGACCACCTGACTCCTCCCTGCTCCTCCTCCTCCTCCTCCTCCTCCTCCTCCTCCTCCGCCTCCGCCTCAGCATCATCATCAGCAGCAGCAACATCATCAGGATTATTCACCTCCTCTTCATCATCACAATCCATCCACCTACGGTTTTAAAATCCACTGACCCTTACTTGGCCCAGGGGCTGTCAAAAGACAGCTTGGGATGAAGAGCCAGCAGCCCAGAACGGGCTCCAGACCTCTGCGGAGACACGTTACACAAAAGCTCGTCGAATGGGGCCACGAAGGGGGGGGGGGCGCGCGCATCATCCACCGAGGCAAGTGCGCGGACAAAGGGGGGGGCGGGGGGCAGGGGACGCAATGAAAGAAGAAGAGGGGAGCAACGAAATCCAGGAGATGTCACGGCTCCGGCCATGATATCCTCGCTCCCCCCCAATCATCGCCCTGCCCTTGGACGCCCCCGACGCATGGGCTACCCCCGATCCCCCCAAGACCTCCCCTCAGGAGGCAATTTCTGGGAGGTCTTCACAAGCACGACTAACGGCCAAGAAGCCCGATCAAGAGGCCACTCTGCTGAATCAGCCCAGATCGAGCCCAAGATCGAGCAAAATTCGGCAAGATTTTGCGGCATGAGAAAGATCAAACGAGTCTATGCCGGATTAGCCCGTCTTCCGACCACGGATGCACCAGCGCCGACGCCATACTTGACCCTCCAAGAGTTGCATCCTGACCGGCGGCGTCGAAGCGTGGTGGGCCAAAACTTGCGGCACAACACACTACCCCGAGCTTCGACGTTGCGAAAATATGCAACATCGCGGAACTCACGATCGGAGCCCTGGACCCCGTCTTTCTGCTGCATTCGTCGAGCCGGATCGGTCTGCACTGGTCCCAAGGCCCAAACTTGGGCCAAAACGCTCCGTGTGGGAAAAATCAGCGCCTGGATCTCAGCGTATTCGCAAGCTCCAGACCGCACGGGCTTCCCACGCTCGCAACCGGGGCCCCTCGGTCTCCTTCGTCGATCTCTGCGGGTCCCCAGGTGCCCAGGGACTCGCGTGGGCCCCCTGGGCCATCGAGGGAGAAGAAACTTCCGTGGAGGACCTGCTGGCAGGCTGCACTCTCACAGTCCTCGTGCTACCGGGAAGGCACGCGAGATGAGTAACGAAGGGGCTTCCGAGGCTACGGCGATGCTGAGCCAAGACAAGGCCCCCCCCACCCAGATGTAGAGGAACGGCCCGAGAACCAAAGCCCCTTCGGAGACCAGAGTGGGCCTTCTCGCAGCGTCCTGTCGGCGGCGAGCCAGAGGGGGAAGTGAGAAGGAGAAGGCCTTCTCAGAAGGCGGCGGGACTTCTCAGAAGCCCTCGCGCCTTCTGAGAAGTTGTCTATGTCTTCGGGGAAGGCTCAGGAAACCTCTCAGAAGGCTGGGGGTGACTTCCGGGCCTTCTGAGAAGGCCCTGTCCTTCTCACACCCCCGCACCCCGCTCGCCGCCGATCTTGACTGCATCATGGCAGCCCCCCCGGCCCCGCGTCCCAGTGCTGAGAGAGGCCTCCAGCAGCATCCTCACGAGCTCCTCTGCCCGCCGCGGGCCCTCCTGTGCCGAGGGGGGGAGAGGGGGAGAGATGTGCCGCGGGGGCCGCTCATCCGAGGGCGCTATGGCGAGGGCGAGGGCAGAGACGACACCCACGAGGAGGAGGAGGAGGAGGAGGAGGAGGAGGAGGAGGAGGAGGAGGCGAGGGCGGGGACGATGGCAGGGGCGACAACAATGAGGAGGAGGAGAAGGAGGGGGAGGGGGAGGGGGGGACGGGGGGGCATGCCGCGTGGGGCTGGAGGGGCGGCTCCGCCGAGGGCGAGAGCAGGGACGAGGAACGAGGGCAAGGGCGACGGCCATGAGGAGGAGCACGAACCCCGTCAACGCAGCAGCTCCTGGGCGGCGAAGGGCCGCAAGGCCGCCTGTCGCACGCGGGCTCGTGTGGCCTGCACGGTGTAGGCCCTCCTGACGGCCCGACGCTTCCCTTCACATTGCCTGCGGGCAGCGCTGAAATCAGCAAGCGGCAGCGACGAGTAGGAGGAGGAGGAGGAGGAGAGGAGGAGGAGGAGGAGGAGGAGGAGGAGGAGGCGGAGGAGGAGGAGAAGGAGGGGGAGGGGTGAAGAAACGAGAAGATAAGGTGAAGTGTCAGACAGTGAGAGTGTAGTGGAAGCATGAGGAGGAGGACGACGACGACGAGCAGGGATCACAGACTCTGTTGAAATGATGCGGAGGCCAAGATGATGAGGAAACCCATGACGGGGCGGAGGACGACGAACCAGAAGTTGGACTGCAATCGGACGATAACGAGTCGAGCTAAGGGAATGGGCGCCAACAGAACGAAGGGGACGAGTTGAAAGCTGAAGGGGGGCAAGCAGGAAGAGGAGGACAAGACGAGTGGATGAGCAGGGTGGAGACGGCGACTACGACAGCGAGCAGGAACAAAACAAGGAACTGGAGGGAACGAGGGAACCAAGGAGGAATAGGCAGGCGGAGCAGGACAGCCACGAGCAGAAGAGAAAAGGAGAGGTGAGGCTGAGTGATGCGATCGGCCCCCAAAAGGGCAAGCCACCCGTCCCATCGCCTCCTGGTCCCCTGAGGGTGGTCCTGCAGCACAGCCTCACCCCGACCCTTGCCACAGCGGCGCCCGCTCCGCCAGTCAATACCTCCCCCCTCGCTCTCCTGCCATCGAGCTGCACCTCCTCCTTGTGTGCCTCCCAATACTCATCGGTTTCCTCCGCCTCTTCATAATCAGCATGTCCAGCATCATCGTTGCCATCATCAGCATCACTGCCACTGCCACCGCCAGCGTCGTCGCCCACTACCACAGCGGCAACAGCAACCATTCCAACAGCAGCAACAACAACACAAACAGCAACAATAACAACAACACCAACGACATCATCAGCGACAACGCTGAAAACAACAACAACGACAACAACAACAACAACAACAACAACAACAACAACAACAACAATCATTTTACCCGAACGCGTGGTGTTCTCCCCAGTGCCAGGGTTTTCATACGACACCAGGCAATACCCCCACTTCGTGGGGGGGCATTACAAGCTCTACCAAATATCCAAACGACTCTTCGCGACCACCCAAACCCAGCTTCCCGCCCTATGACGTTGGGACACTTCACTTCGTGGCGTGCGGACGACCGTGGCTACTACACTGGCGGGGGCAAGGGTTTTTGGAGATTTCGGCGTGCGCGCGCGAAGAAAAAACGAATGTGTCCCGCATGGTATTATTTGACAGGGATGATGGCCCTGGCAGGTGCGCAACCGTTGTCGCAGAAGTTCGAAAAAGTTGCTCGCAAAAGCCCGTTTGACAGAAATGTTTAAAAAGTGTTGGGTTTCCTACGAATCCGCAAGAGCGCGCGGGATGAGATTTTGACATTTTTTTGTTGAAAAACCATTGGTTTTTTGATGTTTTTATGTTAAAATCGCTCCGAACACTAAGCTTTTGGAAGGATTTCGTCTTGCGCGCGCGAATGTCCACTTTACCTTATTTTTTGCAAGGGATTCTTGAAATTTGATTATATTAGAACAAGAAATGTCATTTTATAGTGTTTTTTGCAAGGGAAAGCGGGGGGGAACAAAACAACCGGATCTTGATCACATCGAATTACCTGAGGCTTCCTCACGAAAATGATGAAAATGTAGCTGCGGCCTAGGCGGCGCAGGGGGGGCGTGCACCAGGGGCCCCAACAATAATTATTCTTTAGAATTAATAATGTTCAACAACAACAACACACCAACAACAACCACGACAACAACAACAACAACAACAACAACAACAACAACACCAACAACAACACTAACAACAATCACAGCTACATCAACAGCAACAGCAACGCCAACAACAGCAACAGCAGCAACAGCACAAACGGCAACAGTAACAACAACAGCAACAGCAACACCAACAAAACCGCCAACAACAACACCAACAACACCAACAACAACGATCAACGTGGGTGGGCAGCGGCATCATCATCAGCAGCAACATCATCATCATCATCAGCAGCATCATCATCATCAGCATCCTCATCATCATCATCATCAACATCATCATCCTCATCAGTTTACGCATCATCATCTTCATCCTCTTCAAACGTATCATCATCAGCATCAACCATATCACTATCATCATCGACATTATTAGCATCCTCATTAACATAATCAGCATCGTCGTCGAGGTCGTCATCGTCTTTACTATCATCGTGGTCGTCGTTTCAGCCATCAGCATCATCATCATCATCGTCATCGTGATCATCATCATCATCATCATCATCATCATCATCATCATCATCATCATCACAATCGTCATCGTGATCTTGATAGTGATCACCCCAATCATCTTATCATCGCAACTATTGTCATCATGTGCGTCTTCATCGCCGCAACCGTTGCCCTCGTCATCATCGTCAACATCATGCTCCTCAACAGCAGTGCAGCATGACTTGCATCAAGCTCAGAATCAGCACACTCGTCAGCATCTTCAGCGCCATGGTCGTCGCCATCCTTACGATAACAGGGAACATGATCGTACAGTATCCTTCCTCTCCTATCGGAGTAAACGGCGAAAGAGGCCGAGGTCGAACAGCACGTGGAGGAGGAGGAGAAGACCCCAGGGGAAGGAGGCGGGGCAAGAAACAAGAGGAGGAGGCGTCCTGCCTCTAGGAAGGGGAAAGCGACTCCTGAGAGCTCTTGGCCTGGAAGAGGGCGGCGGCGTGAAGGGGCTGGCTGCTCATCTTCCTGTTCTTGTATTCCAGGGCGTGCTCGGAGTTCTGGTCCATCCTTGGGGAGGCGGAGGAGAACCGAGAGGAGAAGGAGAATTGGGGCGAGGAGAAGGATTAACGACAATAGCGACGACGACCATCCTGCGAACATGTACGCCACAAAACAGTGTCGAACCTCTCCCGTGCACCCGCCACCTAATCTGTGAACCACCACCGTGTTGGCGGGGCGTCTTTTCATACCGGCCCCTGGGAGAAACACAGCGCCGCCATGGTCGTAATGCGAGCGAACACACCCGCGGGAAACCCACAACTTTGATTGAATTGCGAGAAAGACTCCGGCGAGGTGCCGTTCCTCAAGTTCGGAGACTCTTGGCCAGGGCGTATCGGAATAAGTTGAGAGGAATGATAAACAATAAAAGCAATACAAGTGCCCCTCACCCCTTGGGGGGAGACCTAAGCCAGGGCTTTTTCTGCAGACGTATCAGACCCAACCGCCCAGATAGATCATCCCTAATGCGAAAACACGGACCTCGGTGAGGCCAAGTCATCATCGTGTGATTAGAGTCAGGGGTTCTTCTGTTCTCGATGAAGGAAGTATCGAGCAGGAGCCGTTGTTGTCACAGGTGGGGCGGTGCGAACTTGATCCAAGTGCGAGGAAGTGTCGGGCGAGAGCGCCGTTCCTCAGTTTCGGGGCCTCTCTGGCCAGAGCGTCCCCGAGTAAAGTGTGAGGAAATGTCGAGCGGGAGCCGTTCTCTTGGCAGCTGGGCCATGACATTCTTGATTGAATTGCGTGGAGGTCCCGAGCGAGAGCGCCAACTCTCAGTTTCGGGGCCTCTCTGTCCTGGGCGTCCCAGAGTAAACTGTGAGGGCGTATCGAGCGAGAGAAGTTGTCGTCGCAGCTGGGCCTTCTCCAAGGTTAATGGTTCTCGAAGAAATCTCGAGCGAGAGCGCCGTTCCTGAGTTTGGGGGCCTCTCTGGCCAAGGCGTATCGGAATACATTGGAAGGAAGTATCGAGCGGGAGCCGTTGCCGTCACACTTAAGCCTTCACCTACTTGGCTGAAGTGCGAGGACTTCTCGGGCAAGAACGCCGTTCCTGAGTTTTGGGGCCTCTCTGGCCAGGGCGTCTCATAATAACTTTTGAGCCGCTCGCGAGAGGGAACCGTTGCCGTCGTAGTTCAGGCTTGAGCACCGTGGATTTGGAACCAAGCCCGCGCTAGAGCGGGAGCCTCGTTCTCTGAGCAGATATAGCGTGCGTCGAAGCGAGAGCACCCAGAATCGTTTCCAGAGATCAGCACGTACTATTCCCTAGAAGTGCAATCCCTAGAAGTGCAACATTCGAGGGAGCGGGTGAAGAGGAGGAGGATGAGGGGGGACAGGAGGAAAACGAGGGGGAGGAGGAGGAGGAGGCGAAGGAGAGAGGGGCTCAAGATGTTTTGCCCGAGCGGGGCAGAAGAGGAGATGGGCGAGAAAGGGGGGTTAGGATGAGGAGAAGGAGGAAGAGGAAGAGGAGACAGAGGAGGGGGAGGAGGAAGAGGAGGAGGAGGAGGAGAAGGATGAGGAGGAGGAGGAGGAGGAGGAGGAGGAAGAGGAGACAGAGGAGGAGGAAGAGGAGGAGGAGAAGGAGGAGGCGGCGCGCACGACGTTGCCCGAGGACGGGGGGAAGAAGGCGGAGGAGGATATGCTGGAGGCGCGACGTGCGATAAGGCCTGGCAGTGGCAGCAGTGGTTGTCAGCAGCGGTGTGCACTGCCAGATAGCGACGCGGGAGCAGGACATCATCGGCCACATGGCTGCCGGGGCCATCTTGTGCGAGGAGGCACGCAGTGGCAGCAGGGTGTCTGTCGGTTCGAGAAGATAGGCAGTGGCAGCAGCGGTGAGCACGTCATCAGCTACAGGTGTCAGTGCGAGGAAGCAGGCAGACTGGGGTCAGCTCGGGCGAGACAGGAGGCAGCGGCAGCTGATATTGCCAGTGCGACAAAGACTGGGGTCAGCTCGGGCGGGAAAGTAGGCAGTGGGAGCCGATGCTGTCACTGCGTGAAATTGAGCAGTGGCAGCAGGTATTGTCCATGCGAGAATGCAGGCAGTGGCAGCAGCGGGTGCCAATGCGAGAAGGCAGGCAAGGGCAGCGGCGGTTGCCGTGGCAGGGGGCACTGGCTTTGGAGACGGCTGGTGCGCAGAGCTGAGGCGTACGTCTTCAGCTGCAAACTCTTTCCTCTCATCAGCTAATGCGCCGAAATTAACTCTTGCGTGGATTAGGATGAAAGGCTCCAGTCGCGGTGCCCTGTCGCCCAGGACTGGCATGGGGGTAGGCAATGCGTCATTCGGATGGCAGCTGTTTTGCTGGCTCCAGCTTCGGCGTAGAGTGCTAGATCCATGCTAGATTATCCTTCTGCCTCCTCCTCCCCCTCCTCCTCCTCCTCCACCTCTCTCCTCCTCCTCCTCCTTACTCCTCCTCCTCTTCCTCCTCCTCCCCTCCTCCTCCTCCTCCTCCTCCCCTCCTCCTTTCCTCCTCCTCCTCCTCCTCTCCTCCCCCTCCTCCCCTCCTCCTCCTCCTTCCCTCCTCCTCCTCCTACTCCTCCTCCCCCTCTTCCTCCTCCTCCTCCTCCTCCTCCTCCTCCTCCTCCTCCAACTCCTCCTCCTCCTCCGCCTCCTCCTGCTCCTCCTCCTCCTCCTCCTCCTCCTCCTCCTCCTCCTCCTCTCCTCCTCCTCCTCCTCCTCCTCCCGTGGCAAGGAAGGCCCCACACCTCCCCGCGCCCAGGACGCCTCCAGTGTGGCCGTGCGCCGGCCTGGAGCAGCTCGAGCGCAAGGGTGGGGTTCCCCTCGCGGGCCGCCCACCAGAGCTGCTCGTCCTGCGCGCCCGCGCGCGCGCGCTCTGGTGGCTCGCCTCCCCCTGCTGCCTCAGCTTGGCCCTGAACCTCGCCCTCCCCGTCCCCCACCAGCCCTGATCCTCCTCCTCCTCCTCCTCCTCCTCCTCCTCCTCCTCCTTCGCACGTGGCATCAGGCGGGCACGTTCCTTATCCAAGCCGCTCTAAGGTCCACCGCACCGGTTTCCTCCTCCTTCCTCCTCCTCCTCCTCCTCCTCCTCCTCCCTCCTCCTCCTCATCATCATCATCCTCATCCTCATCCTCATCCTCATTCTCTTCCTCGTCCTCCCTCCTCCCTCCTGCCTCCTCCTCCTCCTTCTCCTCCCTCCTCCGCCTCCTCCCTCCTCCCTCCTCCTCCTCCTCACCCTCCTCTTCCTCCTTTCTCCTCCCTCCTCTTCCTCCTCCTCCTCTTCCTCCTCCTCCTCCTCCTCCTCCTCCTCCTCCTCCTCCTCCTCCTCCTCCTACGTACTGCTCCTCCTCATCATCATCCCTCGAGAACCCTCAAGAAAAGCCGCTGGAAACAACCGGACAAGCTGAAAAGAGCGAGAGGCCACCAGAAGCGTGAGGATCTCCCAGAACCATCCGAAGACTCGCAGAAACCTATGGAACAGAACAGGAATTCAGCGAAAGGTTTCCACGACATCCGACGTTGCGTTGTGCTGCAATATGGTTCCCTATGGTCTGGACCCCTTACCACGGACCGGATTCTATCCTGAGCCTCTTTTTGACAGCCCCCTGGGGCCCAGTCAGGGCCCCCAGAGGCTGGAAATTGCCACAACAAACTTTCGTTTGCTCATCCGCGACACCAGGAGGTCAGTTGTCAGGCCATAGCTGGGGACGATTCTGGCATCCCCAGAAAACTCAGCGAGGCGCACCTACTGAAAAGCTCCAGAGGCTGGAAGAACCCCTGGGAAGCTACGAACTCGCCCGTAATTGCCGAACAACCTGAACTTCGAACTGGGGCTGAGCGACGGGAGGATGCCAGGGTCATCGTGCCAGGGCCTGCAAAGACTGACGACAGCCCCCCTCCCAGGGCTGAGGGGCAACGAGAAAAGGGCACTGGCTCAGAGGGTGCGATATTTCGCCGATAGATCGGCGATAGACCCGCGGATAGCGAAGCCACACGCTCCTGGACGGAGTGGACCATCAGGTCCCTATCGGCGATGAATGGGCGATTGGGGGTCGATGCACCCACGCTGAGACCCATCCTGGCGAGCCCTTGTCGCCTCCTGCGCTCTTTGCACCGGCCGGCCGACCTTCACCCTCTTCCTCCTCCTCCTCCTCCTCCTCCTCGTCCTCCTCCTCCTCCTCCCCTTCCTCCACCTCCTCCTCCTCCTCCTCCCTCCTCCTCCACCTCCTCCTCCTCCTCCTTCTCCTCCTCCGCTTCCTCCTCCGCTCTGTTCCTTCTTTTTGAAACCCAATAACTCCCATTCGCACCCCGAGACCGGTCGAAAAGGCGGCCCGGGCATTTCGCCTGACACTTCCGGTAACAGCTTCACCAATGGAGGGCGGGTGGATTTCAAAAAGTGGCTCTTGCCTCACTACCGCTCAAAAAGTTTAACAGCTTCACGGATTGAGGGCGGGCCGTTTTCAAAATGCTGCTCTCGCCCTAGCTCCGCGCACACTCTTCACTATCATCTGAAACAGTTTCACGGATTGAAAGCGGGTCGTTTTCAACATGTGGCTCTCACCATAGCGCCGCGCACATTAGTCTTGAAAATTTGCAACAGTTTCACGGAATGAGGGCGGGTCGTTTTCAAAACGTGGCTATCGCCTCAGCGCCGCGCACACTCGCTTTAAAAATTTGCAAGAGATTCACGGATTGAGGGCGGGTCGTTCTCAACATGTGGCTCTCGCCTTAGCGTCGCAAACACTCGCCATTAAAAACTTTACCAGTTTCACAAGTTCAGGGCGGGCCGTTTTCAAAATGTCGTTCTCTCCCCAGCTCCGCGCACACTCTTCCTAAACATTTGCAACAGTTTCGCATGTTGAAGGCGGGTCGTTTTCACAATGTGACTCTCGCCTTAGCGCCGCGCACATTCGTTTACATAGTGCACAAGAGCTTCACGGATTGAGGGCGGTTCATTTCCAAGATGCGGCTCGCGCCTTAGCGCCGCTCACACTCGATTTTAACATTCGCAACAGGTTCACGGGTTCTCGTGGCTAACGTACCAGGCATATGTTGTTCTGAACG